GGGGGTGCTCGGGTTAATTGGAATCGGCAGCGGCCAAAAATTGGGAATCGGTCGGAAAAGTAAAGTCGGAATTTTAATGCTCTCACTCTACGATTGTTCTGTACCGAAAATGTTTTTTTTTTGTTTTTTTTTTTTTTGAAATCAAAATATATTTAGAGGTCGCCCAAAGCGCTTAAACTTAAAGAAAACACCTCTTTGGGGTAAAATTTTCGAGTGACGAAAGCTGGGCTCGAACCGTCACAGTCGTGAACGAGCAACTCGTCACGTAAAAATTATTATTTCGGATTATAACAGTCGTGAACGCACTGCTCCTCTCGTATACCGAACTACGAGACGAGCAGTACTGGGTTAATGCAATGACAAAACTGTTGTCAAATAAGCATATCGAAACTAAATATGTCATATAATCATATATGTAATACTCTTATATTGGCAGTAAGAGTCAGTGATCGGATTTCTATCACATTGTGGTAGATCTGCCACTTTTTTGAGCATCTACCACATCTACCATAAAAGGTCTGAACTCTACCACACATTCGCGTTTTTGAGTAGTTTTATTTTTGATCGGCATAATTTTCTTAATTTTAAGAGCAAAAATTGTCCAACACTAAACACTAATAAGAGGCAGAATAGGAGGATAAAATAAACTATAAGATAGTAAATATTCTCAATATTAAATTTTTTGACAGGAAACGTGGTTTTATTGTGTTAAATTGCTAAATATATGATTTATAAAAAGAATTAATAGCGAAAATGTTAAAAAACGGCGATTTTTTGTGAAAGTATTGGCAAATTTTAGTGCATCTAAAGTTTCTAAAGCGTTATTTACTTTTACTTGAGAATTGTTAAAATTGGCAAATCCCAAGTAGCGGTTTCCGGAACGTGCCACATTTATTCGCTACATCGTGATGTGATAAAAAGAAAAGCTGGCAGTACTCCGCAAGGTTGCAGAAATCTTAAAAATGTGTTCCAAAAATATCTTGAAATGGAAGGAACTGCTTTACACTGTCAAGGAACAAAATTGCCAAAACTCAACGTAATTTTTAGCAACTTCAATCTTGCAGATTTTTTTTTAATTTTTGTACAAAGTTTGATCCAAAACCTGAACTCTACCACATTTTTTTTTTTAAATCCACCACGTTTTTTTTCAAGACCACACAATTTGAAGTCCGATCACTGGTAAGAGCTCGTACCGTCCGAAAACTTTACAGTACAGATATATCAATAAACACGTACAAAGAAAGGAACACATACGTTTATAAATTTATAAATTAATTTATATATTAATAAACATGAACACAACACAAACATAAAAACGGCGNCTTTACAGTACAGATATATCAATAAACACGTACAAAGAAAGGAACACATAAGTTTATAAATTTATAAATTAATTTATATATTAATAAACATGAACACAACACAAACATAAAAACGGCGCTCATNCGTGCCACATTTATTCGCTACATCGTGATGTGATAAAAAGAAAAGCTGGCAGTACTCCGCAAGGTTGCAGAAATCTTAAAAATGTGTTCTTGAAATGGAAGGAACTGCTTTACACTGTCAAGGAACAAAATTGCCAAAACTCAACGCAATTTTTAGCAACTTCAATCTTGCAGATTTTTTTTTAATTTTTGTACAAAGTTTGATCCAAAACCTGAACTCTACCACATTTTTTTTTTTTAAATCCACCACGTTTTTTTTTCAAGACCACACAATTTGAAGTCCGATCACTGGTAAGAGCTCGTACCGTCCGAAAACTTTACAGTACAGATATATCAATAAACACGTACAAAGAAAGGAACACATACGTTTATAAATTTATAAATTAATTTATATATTAATAAACATGAACACAACACAAACATAAAAACGGCGCTCCCCACTGGGAAAATAGGTAAGCACCTTGCGAGGTAAGCCATGTTTTCTTTCAGTTTTTAGTACCAAAATTGTCATTATGGCCAATGTCATCTACTAGTAAAGGGCAAAATGAACACCTCCGAAGACACATTACGTTGTCAGTTGCAAAATAACGTGCAGCCGAAGTTATTTCCAAGCACCGAACTACTCCGAGCGACTGCTCTGCATTACACGTAACTTACTTTGTAAAGCGGCTCAGAAGTATGTCTGATACCAAATGTACATTCTAAATTCCTACTTACATAAGGCGGCCATGCCTTTGTAAAAGTAAGGGACGTTCGGCAGGGAAATGGTAATGACTGCCAGGTGAAGAGTAAGTTGCTAATAAGGTATTATTACGTGCTCCTACTTCCCACTGGGTCACGTACCCAATACATACACAAAGACCGTACAAGACTGTCTCGAGACAAAAAGCCATCGCTTTGATTTCGGAATGCTTACACACTGAGAAAATAGCTTACTGCCAATATAGAAGTATTACATATATGGAGATATTGACTTCTCTTTGTTTATTACACTATGAAATTAATTTATAATGTTGCCAGTTTCAAATGGGTTAACGCATGAACCAACTAACAAGATCACGCAATCGGAAAAGAATGAAAAAAGTAAATTTCTGAGCGTTTTTGACATCTGCCTAAAAATTAAAACAAACAAAGAAAACGAAAAAGGCGCGGTTATTGTATTTACTATAAAATATAAAAAGTGAAACTTGNATATAAGCGTATAAAAAATCGGCCTTATTATCGCAGTCGACTTCGATGTCGATGTAATTTTTTCACCAAAAAATAGCCCTCGTAAGTCAAACTCCAGAGAGAGGGGCAGTCTGACGTTTACCAGCAATACAATTTTAAAATACAAAACTCAAATTCAAACACACATTCTCATTTTCAATCTCAAATAATAACAATTGTGAACAAATCCAAATTTTGATAACGTTATCATATTGCAAAAGGTGAGCAATTACAACAAGAGACTGACGATAGAAATGCTACATATAACTAATACACCGACAGAATTAAGAATAAATTACAAAACGGACACAGAGAACGTCGCTCATGCTTACAGACACCTGATCGATAAAATAAAAAGTATACAAACCAAAATCAGTCGAAGTCCAGCCAATTGACAGCATAGGATGAAATCATCTACGCAAAAATAATTTATATTTTCTTTGACCTTTTGTGCTTTATGTTAGTTTTGTTTTTAAGTTCTTCTTTTAATGTAAGTCGATTTGTCTTTTTGTTGAAATTTGTTGTATTCTAAGTGTTTTTGTATTTAGAGTCCCTGAGGATGGCTTTCGTTGAGAGCCGAAATATCGTACACTTGTAAAACAAAAATAAAAACTTGACCTCAGGCTCGAAAAGAAACCAGAAAAAACATCTATAACTAAAGGTCGATTAAATAAATTTTTGCATATATAAATTGTGAACAATTTCATTTTTTTCTTCAATTTTATACGATTTTAAAATGGTTGCAAACAAGGTGTATTAAACAAGGTGGTGTTGGGGCGACAGCTGAATTTTTCGCCGTGGAGGCCAGTACGTCAAAATGATGTGTTTGTTGTAACTCATACCAATGACAGTATGGACATCAGCGTACAATTTGTTAGTGTAATTTATTACTTATATACGGCCAATACCACCTGGTTAAATACGTCTTGCTTGCAAATGTCAGAAAAAAAATCATGGCCGACGAATTGAGAGAATGACTTTACCTTAATGTAATGTTTTTATCATGATCTTGAGTATACTGGTTGGTATTGGGAATACAAAGGACCTTTCAGGTCGTAGTGTCTTTTATTCTGACATACCCTAGCTTTTATATATCTGTGTATTCATNTATACGGCCAATACCACCTGGTTAAATACGTCTTGCTTGCAAATGTCAGAAAAAAAATCATGGCCGACGAATTGAGAGAATGACTTTACCTTAATGTAATGTTTTTATCATGATCTTGAGTATACTGGTTGGGATTGGGAATACAAAGGACCTTTCAGGTCGTAGTGTCTTTTATTCTGACATACCCTAGCTTTTATATATCTGTGTATTCACNAGCCGAAATATCGTACACTTGTAAAACAAAAATAAAAACTTGACCTCAGGCTCGAAAAGAAACCAGAAAAAACATCTATAACTAAAGGTCGATTAAATAAATTTTTGCATATATAAATTGTGAACAATTTCATTTTTTTCTTCAATTTTATACGATTTTAAAATGGTTGCAAACAAGGTGTATTNGAAAAGAAACCAGAAAAAACATCTATAACTAAAGGTCGATTAAATAAATTGTGAACAATTTCATTTTTTTTCTTCAATTTTATACGATTTTAAAATGGTTGCAAACAAGGTGTATTAAACAAGGTGGTGTTGGGGCGACAGCTGAATTTTTCGCCGTGGAGGCCAGTACGTCAAAATGATGTGTTTGTTGTAACTCATACCAATGACAGTATGGACATCAGCGTACAATTTGTTAGTGTAATTTATTACTTATATACGGCCAATACCACCTGGTTAAATACGTCTTGCTTGCAAATGTCAGAAAAAAAATCATGGCCGACGAATTGAGAGAATGACTTTACCTTAATGTAATGTTTTTATCATGATCTTGAGTATACTGGTTGGGATTGGGAATACAAAGGACCTTTCAGGTCGTAGTGTCTTTTATTCTGACATACCCTAGCTTTTATATATCTGTGTATTCATCGAATATTTTTTCTAGGCGTTTTTACAAAGTTATTAAATTTCTAGACGAATCGCTTTACTTTCATACACTGCGATCCAGAAGCCTATTAACGATTGTCCTATAGAACTATTTAGAAGTTAAAAGAGTTCTGAGATCTGCCGCAACGGAAAAAAGCAGACAAAGAACGTATAGAAAGGCCCTATCTCACATCGTCGCTGAAATACAAAAAGCCGTAACTAAGTAAAAATCCAAAATTCCCTTTTTAATTGATTATGATACATTTCATCGAATTTATAAGTCCCCACATCAAGCAATAAAAAATTTTAGTCAGTTACGACTTTTTTGCATTTCAGCTACTATATGAGTTAGGGCCTTTCTATATTGAGGTAACGATATGTATAAATAAATAAAATAATTATTTTATAACAACTAAGTATTTCATTCGATTATATTATTAAATTGTGTATATGCAATGGGTACGGTAATTTTCTTAACCCTCTGCGTTGTAAGCAACAAATGGCTGTTGAACAAGTTTCTGCCAAGCTTTCGAGTGAGCAACGTCGAGAAGAACTCGTTTGCTTTCTTGAGAGTTGATAGACCTATAAAAAGTGAAATGTTTTTAAATAATAATACATCGCTTCTGTTACCTTCAGTAATGAAGCCTTGTAGCGTGCACACTCTCTTCTCTTAAAATTAAATTTTAGTGGATGGTTTTGATTGGAAGACTTCGATAAGCCAACGCGATTTAAACTGGAATTTGTATCCTTCATCAAACGTGAGATCTATAGAGAAGTATAGCTTATAGAAATTGAATACTCATCAGGATACTTAGGTTACTACCGGAATTATGGCCTTTTCTTTGACCAAATTCATCCAAATCTTACCAAGTGATCAACATTGATGTGCTTCACCTCTCTGTGGTTGTCCAAATATTCATCTGGGAAAGTTTGTTCCACATTTGTGTCTTGCGCTTTAATTCCTTTCACCCTAGGCGTTGGTCCTTTCTCCGCTGTAGCGAAGAGTCCTCGTGCTTCTGCCATCTTTATGAGATATTTTGCATTTAATTGTGTGATTTTCGTTCTTTTAATCAAAGAGAGATAACAACCATTGGACTGCTTTATCATGCAATTGTCTTGGTTAATACATATGTCTGGTATATTTTCACATACAAATTCATCAGCATCTGGTAGCACTACGCTGTCCTCACTGTTATCCGCTTCAACATTTTGCTCTGCAGATATCTCGGACTTCGATGCACCGCCAGCCTCTGTTGTGCCACCAGTCTGCGCTGCTGCTTTACCCTTTTCATCCGCCGTTGGGCGTTTTCTGGGCGACCCCATTGCGGCAGATGGTATATTAGCAGCCTCTGCCTCGGCTAATGCTTCCAGTCGTTTCTTCTCCCTGAATGCATTTTTATGCTTCGTTAGCGATGTTTCGTTTACAAGCTTGACGGCATAATTTACCATATCTTGATTTTCCGATGATACAATTGAATGTGTTTGGTACAATATAAATTGTATCTGTGGTCTAGCCATGGCCATTTGTAGTGTGAGTAGCTGCTCTTCGAGTATCAGCGACACTCTACGTTTGCCTTCATCACTTATCTCAGATTCGGTGAGTACTTCTAGCATACTCAAGTCACCGCCTCGTGAGCAAATCAAATCTATCGGGTCGGAAATTGCACTAAAAGAATTCGGTGGATTGGCGAAAATACCGACGACGTAGCCGAAGCGTTTTGATTCCAACGGAAACGAAGTAAACACTTCGTCAAAAATGCGTATATTATTTATGCCTAGAACTTCCATAAAGCGGCGATACTCCTTCAGATTCGGACCTGCGCCGTAGGCATAAAAGTTGTTTACTCGATTTACGGAATAAAATAGTGATGCTAGATATGCTGTGGCGCGAGGTGAGGATATATGCGTTTGTAGGATATCACCACTCAACTGAAAGTATTCTAACATTCTTGACATAACCGCTGGACCATAGGAGAACGCTTTGTCCTAGCGAGAAAAATAAGCATACAATTGAATGAGTATATAAAAAAGACGTCTACTAGTCAGGCGCTTGCCTAAGATCAGCCCAAACGTAGCTGAGTACTGCAGTTATTGAACACAGATCAAATGTGGCTTGTTATAAATGTATTTCTTGTATATGTATGTTTGTATATATTCGCGAATCTTCAAAAAGTCTGAGACTATTTGCATGAGTTAGCGAGCTCAAATGAGCTATAAGAGTTCAGAAACGACTAGAAAGGACAAAGTTACAGCACTACCACAATACAAAGGGCAAGGCGCCTGTTTAGCGGAACCGAGCCAGAAGCGACTTACGCATTTTATAAACCTTTCATAGCAAATACAGATAATGACAACGCAATTTTAGGCTGGGCCCAAATCGCACCTTAAGAGATCGATTGAAACAAGACTCGAAATTTAATTTTGAGATTACGACACTCGATAATGTGTTCGCTTTGTCAATTCAAATTGTATAAAAGACAAAATAGCCCTTATTTTATTTCACTCAATTCGAAACGAGTAATAATTCGATAAAGAATGTCCTGGTTCATGCCACTGTAGTTGATCGAGTTCTGCCTCTCCTGAGGCTTTGCTACCAAAGGAAAGTAAATCTACATATCGACCCCTAAATGCGATTTGATCGTAAGCGACAAATTATCGAAAATAATTTTTTTGCTGCAAACGTCCTAAAAAATCCCAGACTTTGAATATTTACCGTTACGGAAAAAATCAAAATGAATTTTATCGCTAGCTTTGTTTACACTTTGCGACACTGTGTGTATAGAACTTTATTGTAAATAGCAGTTTGAATTCTAGTTTTAACCAAAGTTTCACCGGCATTTGCTACAACTGAATGCTGCAAAATCAGCTTCTTTCCTTTATCACAATCAATTGCAATCTGTCATTATGCAATTGCAGCTGCTATCACTAAGTGCATCGTGGCTCGTCGAATGGGGTCTTTTTTAAAACTCTTGCTTTGCCAAGGGGTTATAAGATTTAAAAACCTATCGGAAAGATAAAAAACAGACATCTAACGGGACTTATATTCCCATTGTATGCACTGGTATAGAAAATATTGCAACTGAATTGGAATTGCCATCTTAATACCAGCTTATACGGTTTATATGGTTTATCTCCTTCCAAATTGCTATAAGATATTGGTTTTACCCTCTTATTTATTATAACTTAGGGATGTCGGAAAAACATCGATGCATCGAAACTATCGATGTTTTGCTTCGATGCATCGAACATTTTCCACTCGATGTATAAATAGTCGATGTATCGATGCATCGATGTTTTTTGAAAACTGACATCTACGGTACATTGAACGTCATTCCAGTTTTTCAATTGTTCAAAAAAAAAGAAGTGACTTTGGCCAAGAAATTTAAATGGCCGCAAGAAGTTCCGTTAGAAACATAATTAGCTCAGTTGCAGTAATTTATTTAAAATATTCTACTACTGCTAATAACATTTTTTGTTGTGAAACATCTGCAAATTCCTATGCAAATCGATGCATCGATGTATGCCCTTCGATGCATCGAAAAATCGATGTATTTTTGCCACTGACATCCCTATTTTAAAAATATCGTAAGCGCCATTTTACCTTTAGACAATAGGGTATGCAAAAAATAAATTGTCCTATTAGAAAGCTAGCATTCAATAATATTGTTGTCCATTTAAACCCAATTATATTCACTGTTTAAGAGAGAATTAAAAAAAAACCTCTCCTGTAAAATTTACCTTTTGCCGCTTACGATAAAATCGCAATCAGGGGTCGATATGGTGTTTGAGAGATGGAGTTATGAAAATCCGACTGCGAATCGACTGAAAGTAAGTATAGTATCGGGAGTGGGCCAGGTGGGGTGGAATGTAAGAAATCTGTACTAAAGTAACTCAAGTGATTTGGAGTAGTTCGCGGCCAGTCTTGAACAGATGTTTTCCTTTTATTACGTAAGAAAAAAAAAAACAAATCGTCACTTTGCGTACCCATCAAATGCAATACCAGGTATTAGGTGGCAGAGAAAAAAAGTAATTTTGGTTACTCCGTCTCAGTGGTTGCCTACTCCATAAATTTAATTATGAATAATTATAGTATTTATAGTAGAAGCTCATATTTGGTAAGTTCAGTTAGAACATTTTTGAAGAAAATACGTTTTTTTGTTAGCTTGTGAAATTTTCGGACCACCATATACGTGGTATTGCATTTGACGTATACGGGGAGTTGCACGCCAAGCGACGATATGAACCAGTGATGGAAAAGTAGAAACAATTGTCCTCTTTCTGCCCTTTTAGAATTGTGATGGTACCTTCGCTGCGAATGCACCAGTTTAGATACAGTTACAATGCGCCAAACTATGTTAAAAAATCTTTTCCTCTGATGCAAAATTCCGTCAGTAATTAATACTAGCGAAATGTAGACAAATTTTTTCCTGCGATTTCTTATCTCCAATGTTCCAAAGTGCTACAGAAGTTACATAACATTGATATGCATTTCCAATAAGCAGGATTTCTTTAATATACCAGCAAGTATTTGGCTTTTCTTATTTCAAAATCTTTAAATTCATTCTTAAAGCTTCAGAAATTTGCGCTGTAGGCTTTAGGCAGCTTGTAGCATTTTCAGCAGCTGAATCGAATGCGGCTCCTGACTCGTATTGAGGATTTTGTCGTACAAATGGTTCAAAAGCGATTCCTAAAAGTCTTATTTATTGTTAGGAGATTGTTGTAACTATTAACTTGAAGTAAATTAGCGTCCTCAGTTATTGAAATATCGGAATTTTCGCATTTCTGAAATTTACCGTTATTCGGCAAGCGGGTGTAATTTTAGTCCGATTTGAATAATTTTAAACAAATTGCTTTTCCGTACCAAGGTTATCAAGTGCACCGAGTTTGGGGGAAATTGATAAATCGGGTACCGAAATACACATTTGTGGCCATAAGTGGGCGGCGCCACGCGCATTATCCAAAAATTTATAATTTTCTAATTTTCTGCTAAGTAGTTATTGCAATCATCGATTTTATGTGAATTATCTCCAGTAGTTACTGATTTATCGCAGCTTTCGTGTTTCGGTAAATTACCGTTATATGGCAGGTGGACGTGGTTATTACAAAAAATGCCGCTCAGCCGCTCACAAATGCTGCTCAGAGCATGGCCACTTCAATAGTGAATGCACAAGTGCGCTCGGGTATAAAAATGTTTGATTTCGTACATATCGTCGCTACCATGTCAAGCTATCAAATGTACAAAATGCTTTTTCAGATTTGATACCTTGCGATGCAGTTAGAAATTCGTCGATTTTCTACATAGTCTTCCCAAATCACAAACTTTTCCCTAATGACAAAAACATTTTTTACAACAGGTTTTTTGCTATCCTGAAAAGTACCCAATTTAAAATTCGATAGTTTGACATGGTATCGACGATATGTACAAACATTCTTCCGCTATTGGGTAAAATTTTACCTTCAAATTAGGTACAATGGAAAAATTTCATTTTCTATTCCTGGTATGAACTTCCGTCTAGCGGAATGCGAGAAAACTGCCGATTTCAGAATGCGCGAAAAAAATAAGCGCGGTTTCACACTTCTACCAGGTATAAATGGACATATGTATGTACATAAATCCACCCTGCGACAAAGTGATACGGTCATAGTTTGGGAAAATGTCAAATGTTGTAAAAAAAAATTAGAAAAATTAAACAAAGTTGCGCAACAACAACTTTTTTATTTGCGAACATTAGTTACATACATATAAACATATAATGGAAGAAAATGCCCAAAGCCTTCAAAAATGCAAAAATCGACGATATATTCTAGACACTTAAAAATAGCAATTTATCGAACAAAAATTAAACGGACTTATAGCAACTGCATACTTAGAATTTTTCTAAAAAAAATTTTGTACAAAGTGTGAAATTCGGATTTAGTTATATAGTTTTTGTTAGATAATGAGCTACATATCGCTAGCTTAGAAAGAAAAGTTGCTAAGTCCCATTTTAAAAATTTTACAGGAGAGGAAAAAATCTTCCTATAGCCATTTTCTTTAACTATTTCGCAAGACTTTGAATCAAACATTTTGCGCGTTTAAAGCAAAGCAAAACTCCATAAGAATCAGAAGGATTCGATATTTATTAAAAGATGTCGTATTATTTTGGCCTTATCGGATTTGTGGTGCTTCTTTTGGACTTAGCAAATTTTCCTTTTAGGGCTTATGAAGAGGAAAAAATAAAACAAGTACCTTTATAATTTTCGAAACGATGCGTATTCAATTTCTCTAGCCTCCTATATCAAAATATGAGTTTTCATAAAAAGTGGACTTAGCAACTTTTCACTCTAAGCTAGCGATATGTATACTTCTATGAAAAATAATTAAAATTAATTTGAAAAAATAAAAAAAAAACGCTCGAACCGGGTGACTGTATCGTTTTATTTCGTTGCGGGTTGTACATGCAAGTGTCTTAATAGCTTCAACTTACCTGAATGATAAAATAATGCTTCGTTACTAATTTCGATTTGGTAAATTCGCCCTTATTTTGTGGCACGCAAGATATAAAAAGTGGACAAACATTGTCCCAACGATAATGATCGGTTTCTAAACCATGTATATTTTCATCTTCTTGCAATATATAACCACACTCCAGTAGAAATTTGTCGGCTGAGGTTTTATCACTAAATTGTGAAAATAAAATAAAATTCAAGATATTTATTTATATACATATGTATGCATGGGCGTAGCCAGGTAGNCCCCCCCCCCCCCCCCCCCCCTAACTTTGAAATTTTCCTTAAATGTATATAAAATAGTACCCTGAAATGCCAGCTTAATAGGGTCGACCCCCCCACCCTAATGTACATTCATTTTCTATACATATTTACCGCAATAAGAAAGGATTTATCCATCCAGTTACCATGGTGTTCGAAGCTGCAGTAGCTACCTTTTCGTTCTGTAGATGAATGGGCAATAGCTTTGAAAGATTGAGTGCATTGAATTTTATTCGCATTCGGGATATGGATGCAGCCAAAGATTTTCGAAATTCCCAAAGATGTTCGGCGATTTCTAAAGAACGGGAAAATTTATATAATATTTAGAAAGTTCCTAAGTAAAAAAAAAAATCTAAATACTGTGCTTAACCTTCGACTTCTGATTCGCGAAATAATTTATACTGCAGATCGATTTCTTCAGAGAAACATTGCTTAAAATTTCGACCAAGCAGTTCGTAAAACATTAACCAAACGCGATTTTCATCTTCCACATGCTGAAAATTGAAAGGAAGGAAAGCTGCAGAAATTTAGTGGGTAGGTAGCTAGATCTACAACAAAATTTTTGAATTTGTTCTTTACTAGATCCAATTAGGACATTAAGCAAACTAAGCAGTCATTTGTGGTGTAAAAGGGTTCCAGATCGAAAACGATCTCGGGGAAATTGCCTATGGTGTACAATATAGCACATTCTTTGAGGAAACCATTTGCCGTACGGAAGAGGATGAAACTGTAGAGGTGATGTATGGCATGTGTGTTTTACAATTTCAAATCATGGCTGACTTAAAAAAAGAGCTGTAAATGAGGCGTGTATGAATGTGAATAACAAAAAAAATCAATTAAATTCTGAAATGCGTTGTTCTTGAGCCATTTTCTGAAGATAGGTCGATCTTCCACTCAGCCGTCGATATGTAGTTTATTTGCGACTACACTTTGTTAATCCTTTGGATGCGTTTCTTTTTGTCTTATTTACGTTGTTTGTCTAGATATTGTCACACAAATGAAAGGACTCGGAATTTATCGCCGCCTTCTAATGGCAAATAAGTTTTTTAAAGCCTTTTCAAAGCAAAAAACTCACTCGGTGGTGTATCATTGCCCGCCGAGGTGGGCGTGAGTGTTAAAAAACACTTCTTTCATCGAACGGCCGTGATTTTGAACCTGAGTCCTCTAAGCAATCGGCTACGGAGGCACTGGAAATTAATTCGGGAAAATATAAACCACAAAGAGCTCTAGGCTTAAATGTATTATTTCTTTGGATGACAGTCAAACCCTTCCAATTACCTCTGGGAATTGTTTGTAAAATCCAATGTCGTTCAATGCATTTGAGAGGACGACTTTGTCTGAAAAATGATACAGAAATATTTTTTTTTCATATTTTGTCAGCTTTATACTTACATCTGAAGACATCGTATATCAACGAATAGACTTTCCGCATTTCATGTTCATTTTCAAACTCTACTAGTCTGGGTGGTTTTGCCAGTAATTTTGCTGCAAGTGCAATGGTTGTTAAATTCCAAAATTTACTCTTATCCTTCAATGATTTTCCATGAATTTGTGGACATTTCTTTTTAGCCTCTTGAAAGATTCCATTTGGAGATATGGTCGGCGAAATAGTTGGAGATAAATTGAGTACATACGGCAAATGATTGAAGGAATGTATATCCTTGCGTACCACAACGTAGTCCACTTCACTGTAAACGATAAGAAGCCATTTTGAAAATCTAAATCTATCAAAAGTGAATTCGTTTAGAAATAAGGGCATGTGTTCGGTTAGCATTTTGCTTTATTTGTGCCTCTTTCGTGTTTCGCGAAACAGTATCCCCGGAAAGGAGTATCCCCGTGAAAGTGATAATATAATAATAGACTGGCGCTTACACATATGTTAGTGTTTGGCCGAACTTGTCCGTCGATTTGTAGCGTGCGCCTTGATGTTCTCTCACAAATAGGAGGGACCTACAGTTTCACGCCGACTCCGAACGGAGATTGTATTTTTATAAGTAGCTCTTTTCCGTGGCAGAAATACACTCGAAGGTTTGCCATTGCCTGCCGAGGGGCGACTGCTGTTAAAAAAAAACGTTTTTTCTATATTTTTTTGAGATGTTGCTTTGACCAGGGCGTGAACCCAGACCTTGCAGATTGGTAGCCCGCACTGCTAACCCTTACAATACAGCGGCCGAAAACTGATACCTCTATGTAAAATGACGTTGAAAAACACCACCAGCTCAGTCAAAATTGGGAAACCCCTCTCCGAGATGGTTGATACCAAACGTTGTTTCAGATAGAGCGACTCCCTGTCGTATGATTTCCTTAATCTCATGTTGAACCACTTAGGAACAATATATTATATATATACTATAGAATTTCTTTTATTTGGGAATCTGCATTAACACCGATAATAACAAACCCTACTATCGCCTGAGTAGGCGATTGAGAAGTAAAGTTCTGATAACATCCGATGAGGCCGCCTTTGGAGTATTCGAGGGAAAGATTTTGAGGAAGATTTTCGGGCTTTTACGCATTGGCGACGGCGAATACCGCAGACGATTTAACAATGAGCTGTATGAGCTTTACAACGATATAAACATAGTGCAGTGAATTAAAATTCAGCGGCTCCGCTGGCTTGGCCATGTCGTTCAGCCGGAGGTCAAAGTTCACTCTATATATTAATTTTTAGTAATTTGTCTGCAGTAGTTACTTAAATATCGCAGTTTTCATTTTTTTCCAAAAAGAATACCGCTATATGGAAGGCAAGCGGAGGCAAAGAGTAACAAATTTACCAAATTTTATTGGGAAATGTCATTTAGTTTCCGAGAAAACGAGTTTCGACCGTTGCTCCATACAAGCTGAACCACGGCGCAGCCCTGAATGTATTAAACTCGGAAGACGCTAATGGTAGCAGAAGAAGTGGGAGGCTCCTCTGCGATGGAAATACTAGTTGGAGAAGGACTTGGCTTCACTTAGCATTGCCAATTGGTGTCAGCTGGCACAAAACAGAAACGACTGCCGTGCTTTATTGGACTCGGCCAAAGTCGCTTAGACGGTTACAGCGTAAAAAAAGAAGAAAACAAAATCGAGAGCGTGATTTCATCACGCGCCGGATACGATAGAATAATGAGCTGTTTGAGAATTACAACGGCATAGACAAAGTGCAGTGAATTAATATACCATTGTCATGTCGCACGAACGTAAGCGATCTTCACACTACTGAAAGTTGTCAATGCGGTACACTCTGGTGGTAGTAAAGGAAAATAAATGCATCCTCTATGTTGAAGAGGTCAGGTGGAGAAGAACGGGGCTTCACTTTTGGTTTCTCATTAAAGTCACTTACAGGCCTATTCTCCTTGTTGCCGAACCGAATGTTTTCTTACCAAAAGATAACACCACTTCATGTAAGCGCAATTCTGCGTACCTTGGTAACAATTAAATCTATTCAGCAATTCAGGTATGAAGTTTTGTATAAATTCTGGTGTTGCATACTTCACGGGGCAATATTTTGTTATCTGTTTATGAGAAAATTTACCAGTGCGCAGAATACCNACGGGGCAATATTTTGTTATCTGTTTATGAGAAAATTTACCAGTGCGCAGGGTAAAGGGGTTTAAAAAACACCAGAGGAACTTTATTTACCGGTAACAAAATTTTTTTACCAACGCAGAATAGGCCTGTTAGCAAAAAGGATAATGGCAGGCTTACTGCTTAAGTATATTGAATAAAGCAAAAATCGCTTAAGCGGTAATGCATACATACATACATATGTATGCATATAGTGCCACTTTCACTTACACGCCACTATCAATAGCTTCGTTCACACGTTTTTGCACCTCCAAGAGACGATAATACATTCGTTCTTGCCAATCAGCATCACTTGGTAAGTAAATAAGCGTTTGTTTCTCCCGAACTGTTATCAATTCTTTAAAAATACTCGGATAAACAGAAAATATATCTGCTAAACTCAGAAAGAACAGCTGATTAGACATTTCCGCCACAGAGTGACCGTTACTTTTTATATTGCGCGCCACAACACCAACAGATCGCAACCAAATATTGCACTAGACTGCTGGAATTCTTGAAATGACGTGCAGCATGGTAGGCGAAAGTAATAAATATACCAGTTAGTATGTATGTGCATATGTAAGTAAATAAAACTAAACTAAATTATTCAATATACATATATAAATATAGGCCACTTGGAGGTCGCGCAAAAGCATTGCAAATCGAAATCGAACTTAGCGGTAAATGAATTCGTGTTAAACGCCAATTCAATAAGTTATAAATACTTGCTAATATTCTTTTTTACTACACTTACTATCTATTTAGTTCTCATGCAATGCCACAAACAAATTCAAGCATTTTATGTTTGTATATAAGTAAGTACTGAATAAATATTTGGTACATATGTATATATATTTCAATACTTTTACATGCCATTTACCGAATCGCAAGTGTGATTGGTAAAAGTGAAGCGAACGTCAAATCGTCAACAAACCGAATTTCACACCATTTATTTGTAGTATGCAGACGGGATTTGAAATATTGTATATGTACATATGTATGTACACTAGACCGTACCAGAAAAAGATTCGCCTTACACCCCTGAATATAAAGTATTTTTGCACTGCAATTTGGAAAATGTTTTTTTTAAATTTTTTTACCGAGCATAGGGGTCCCCTTTTCATTATAACCTCGGCTTTTAAAGTCCGATTTTAAAGTGTGATGTATCAATATTCATGTCTGGAACAGAAAACTTGTTTGTTCTAAAGTTCGATGACGTACCACCGTAATGTGAGTAGTTTAAAGCTTTTCAAAATCTTTCTCCTCATTCTAATTACTTCACCTGGTGTAATTCCACCATGGGTGACACTGAAAAGTGTCAAAAGGCGACCTCTAGGTTCGACTATGAAATTGTTTTTTTCCAAATTGTCTTTCAAAAATATTTTTTAATCATTGGTGTACGGCGACATTTTTTTGTTTGCTTGTGAGGCAGTAAGGTCTAATGTACACATGTTGTTCTGCCTGGTTTAGTTATGTTAAGGCATGACAATTGTAGTCAATCGATATCCATATTATTGGCAATATTTGCTGTCAATCATTGTAATATGCAGTCATATTCCCAATTCGTAAAAATGTGGCTAAGGACATGGTTTCGTTCATGCAAATGCATAAATTTTTGTATGTACATACATTTATACATGTGTACATAAATATGTGATTTATGTACGTCATTTAGCTTGATATCGAATTGTTTATGCAAAACATTTAAGGAAGCTTGTCTAAATTCACTCCCAAAAGGGTCTAAGTTGGAACAAGTAAAAAATTATAAGCTCGGGTAAGCTATATATACCACTCGCAAATATATAATGCAGTTTTATCGCCTTTTGTAAACTACATCATTATAAGCCAAGGTGTTTACTTACGCACCATGTCAAAAATTTTCGATAGTATGCTCAATTAGACTTAATGAAATAATTGAACCAAGCTTGACAAAATCGATAAGGCGCTTACTGAAATAATTCTACGTAGTCACAAAAGGGCAGTCCAAAAATCCGGTATAGCCTTATTTCTTATTAAGAGATTGTTGTAAGTACATATTCTTCTTCTTCTTCTTCTTTTTTGGCGCTGTAACCGCCTAAGCGATTTTGGCCGAGTTCAGCAAAGCACGCCAGTCGTTTCCCCTCTGTGCCAACTGACGCCAATTGGAAACGCCAAGTGAAGTCTTTCTCCACCTGATCTTTCCATCGCAGTGGGGGCCTCACTCTCGAGCTCTGCTACCAGCTGCGGGTTCCGAGTTGAATACTTTCAGAGCTGGAGCGTCGGTGTCCATTCGAACGACGTAGCCAAGCCAGCGGAGCCGCTGTATTTTAATTCGCTGCACTATGTCCATATCGTTGTAAAGCTCATACAGCTCATCGTTCCATCGCCTGCGGTACTCGCCGTCGCCAACGCGTAAAGGCCCGTAAATCTTTCTCTTTGGTGGGGGTTGAAAAAGCGCGTACTAAGTAACAGAATTTTCCAAAGTTTTTGCATTTTTCGAAAATAAAGTTATATAGGAGATGGGCGCAGTTGCCGTCCGATTTCGCCCATTGTCAATACAAACCTAAGAGCAATCTCAATTTTTGCTCAAATTTGTGCTCGGACAGACGGACAAACAGACATGACTTAATCGACTACTCATAGCAGGAGTTGCTTTCACAAATTTACAAGAAAGAATAATCAGGGCATTACCCAGCTGAACAACTTCTACCTCTTCTTATTTGGCTCCACAACTGTTTGTCGGTTTGTGCTGAGACCAAAAATGATCGCCAATTGCCTCTCTTCTCTGCGAGGTTGCGCCAGTTGTACATCCCGAGTGCAAACAATTCTCTCTGCCACATGTTCCTTCCATTGTGTTCGTGGGTGCATTTTCTCTCGTCCATTCATGGGTGCCGAGTTGAAATATCTTTTTTTCCTGGAGCTTCGTCAACCATACGTATTTATAACATGATCAAGCCAGCGCGCAATCGTTGTATATTTATGCGCGTTCGTCATTCCATCTTCTTCGGTACCCGTCGCCCATGCAAACAGGGTCACACATCTTGCGTAGAATAATTCTCTAGAAACCCCCCAAAGCCTTCTCATCGTCCATGTTTCTGCTGTATATAAAAGGGCAGTCATAATGAGAGACTTGTAGAGCGTAATTTTTGTTCTTCGGGAGCGACTCTGCTTTTCAATTGCCTACCGAGCCCAAAGTGGTATTTGTTGAAGAGTTATTTTTGACTTGATGTCCAGGCTGATGTTATTGGTGGTGTTTACGCTGGATCCTAGGTGGACAGAGTCCTTTACCACTTCAAATTTATAACTGCCAACTTGTTTTTACGTGTTGCCATTAGGTACTTTATTTTGTTCTCGTTGACCGCTAGACTAACCTATTTCGCTTCTTTTTCTAAACGGGAAAATGCTGCGCCGCGTCCCTAGAACTCAGTACGACGATGAACCACTAACTAAAGAGATATGCACTAGCTTTAGAGCATCAGTTCAAAAGCGCAGTGACGAAGTGGTGTTTATTGGCATCTCAGAGAAATGCCTCATTTCACTCGATATTGCTATGTCCGGGAACCCAGCAGATAGCGGCGTTTAAATGGCACAGCATTTACGTAAAATCTGCGATTTAAATATTTTGGATGTAATGCTTACAAAGTCGCTGGGGACAAAGATAAACCCTTTTCCAGCCGGTATCATTTTATTAGAGTAGCTGCCTGCATGAATCTAAGCCTGAAAGGCGCTGCAAGTATTTTGGAAGAAGAAGTGACTGATTGATCCTTCGAGTCAGATGCCTGTGATCGGTTCTAACGGAACAAAAATTGTCAGCGGTTGCAGGTGAATGGTCAAGTTAAACCTCTCCCGATGTGTGTGTCTTTGATCTGTTTGTCTATACTATATGTAGAGCATTCCGCTAGACTAGAGCCCTTTGCTGATGTAGTTAGCCGCTAGCGAATTCCATATATTCCGCATTAATTTTACACTTCAATCATATCAGAAGTGCTGGTATAACTATGTCGTCAAATAACTTTCAATTATCTAATAAGAAGAACACTTATAATACAGCGAACCTTACAAAGTATTAGAAAGGCGTTTATTTTAGATTGCACTGGATAAAGACGGCTTTGTCCTGAGGACAATAAGCATTCTGTGTGAATATCCACCCTAAGATTAGGTTAGGTTATTCTGGCTGGCTGACCGCCCCACATAGACCAATAGGTATCTAGTGATGCCAGATGAAGATAGAGTTTTAGTTAAGTATATTCAAAGTACACATCAGTAATGCTTGAAGCCCAAGTGTTGTCATGTCTTCAAGATTATTAAGCTCTGGAGCTACAATCAATCGTATTTTTGTTACAGCAGGACAAAGGCATAGGATGTGTCCACCCTTAGCTAGATCCAGATTGTGGTGTGCTTTTCCAGTATCTCATTTAGAATAGAGCATTTTACCTACGATAGAGCATTTGCGACACCTAAAAGGGCGGGCATTGTGAGAGGTTTCGTCGGGAAGCCAAAATTTTAACTCTTGGTAAGAGTTATTTTCTTTTTTTTTGTACTAGGCATGCAATGTAATTCAATACGCGAGATCTCTTTGTGTTGCCAGCAAGCACTTTGTATTGTTGTTGTTCCCCGCTGACTGCTCCTAAGTGTTAATATGTAACATCTGCAGCATTGAAACACAACTTTCCCTCCTGAATCAGGATCGGCTTTTTAGTAACGGCCGAACACAAATTTCANCCAGATGAAGATAGAGTTTTAGTTAAGTATATTCAAAGTACACATCAGTAATGCTTGAAGCCCAAGTGTTGTCATGTCTTCAAGATTATTAAGCTCTGGAGCTACAATCAATCGTATTTTTGTTACAGCAGGACAAAGGCATAGGATGTGTCCACCCTTAGCTAGATCCAGATTGTGGTGTGCTTTTCCAGTATCTCATTTAGAATAGAGCATTTTACCTACGATAGAGCATTTGCGACACCTAAAAGGGCGGGCATTGTGAGAGGTTTCGTCGGGAAGCCAAAATTTTAACTCTTGGTAAGAGTTATTTTCTTTTTTTTTGTACTAGGCATGCAATGTAATTCAATACGCGAGATCTCTTTGTGTTGCCAGCAAGCACTTTGTATTGTTGTTGTTCCCCGCTGACTGCTCCTAAGTGTTAATATGTAACATCTGCAGTATTGAAACACAACTTTCCCTCCTGAATCAGGATCGGCTTTTTAGTAACGGCCGAACACAAATTTCGAGGACAAATACACTACCATTTATTCAAATTAAAATATTTTATTGTTTTCCACCATGCAAAACATGAGAAATAGGCAACAAATTGGCGACTCGCTGTTTTATTGCCGTAGTGAGAAATCGGCAACATTATTTCGTTTACGTCATTTTAGGAATATGTTTTCAAAAATTCCCAAACTGATGAACTTCGCGTCAACAGGATTCTTCGAAATGCCCAAGACAGGGTTGAAAAAATAGGAATACTCAAAGCGACGAAAATAGTTATTTTCGTTTACAAATTATAAGTTTGTGTTCAAAAACAAATGAAATATTAAAAAATAAAAAATNTGTTTTCAAAAATTCCCAAACTGATGAACTTCGCGTCAACAGGATTCTTCGAAATGCCCAAGACAGGGTTGAAAAAATAGGAATACTCAAAGCGACGAAAATAGTTATTTTCGTTTACAAATTATAAGTTTGTGTTCAAAAACAAATGAAATATTAAAAAATAAAAAATTTGTTGCAAGAAATTATTATTCAAATATCGCCTGTAGCAATAATAAAACGACTCATTCAGGTGATAAGAAAATGACTCGCCGAGGCGAGTTGCTTGCGGCGGACGTTTTAGAGCGACTGGTAATAAGAAATCGATACGATGGCGATATTGTTGGCAATAAATTTGTTGCTGACGGCTTATTAATAATAATAGATTGGCGCTTACACATATGTTAGTGTTTGGCCAAGCTTCTCCTCCGATTTGTGGCGTGCGCCTTGATGTTGTCACACAAAGCGGAGGGACCTACAGTTTTACGCCGACTCCGAACGGCGATTGTATTTTTATGAGAAGCTGTTTTTCATGGCAGAAATACACTCGGAGGTTTGCCATTGCCTGCCGAGGGACGACCGCTGTTAAGAAAAAACCTTTTTTTCTATATTTTTGCGATGTTGCTTTGACCAGGGTTTGAACCCAGGCATTGTGGAGTGGAAGCGCGCACTGCTTATCACTACACCACAGCGACCGACTATAAGTACGGCTTAAGCCAGCAAAATATCGTACCGATTCGTGTAACAGCAGCGGTAAAATCGAGGATAACAAAGCAAAGCGTTAATTGATTCAGCGTTCATCTTTAACTGAATGTTTAAATGTTCATTTGGACTGCTTCGTCAAAGAAATAAAATAAAATAAGTTGAAGCAAAGAACCATTTCACAATCAGTTGCGGTTGTTTAACCTATTAAACGGATCCCATCTGAATGGAAAATGTTTGGAATCAAGTGGTTTGCTAAGTTTGCGAGCCAGACAATCCATTTAATGATTGGCAGTTGCTCCTCCGCCGATTTAAAACTGGTGAAGAGCGAGATGCATCTAGAATAGTCTTCGGGTGGGGTTTTTACCCATACATTGNTGCTAAGTTTGCGAGCCAGACAATCCATTTAATGATTGGCAGTTGCTCCTTCCGCCGATTTAAAACTGGTGAAGAGCGAGATGCATCTAGAATAGTCTTCGGGTGGGGTTTTTACCCATACATTGCCATTAAGGGTGAAATATCCAACAAGAGTTGTGCTGTGTCTGTTCAGAAAAAAGAAAATCCAATATAAATAATGCCAATTAGTAGATTTGAAATTAATGGTTTTTACAACGCTTTTATCAACTTGCAACGTTGTGCGTCCAGAAACTTTCAATGTTGTGGATCCAGAAACTTTCAATGTTGTGTGTCCGACACCAAAGCAAAGCTTTGAAAAGTTCCTATAAAAAAGCATAGTGCATAGGGCGACAGCTGTAGTGAATAGGGCGAGGTAGATGACATCTAGATGTCGCCCTATGTACTACGTTTGCTACAGCGGAAATAGACGACACGCCATTTCTTTAAATAAAATTAATTGGTGCTCGTTTGTATGTACATACATATGTAAATGCATGTGTGTGCACCTTTCTATTAATATCGTTGAATTATTTTAATATCTATTGCAAAATTTTATTCAGACAGGACTAAAAAGTAGAAAATAAATAATATAAAAAAAAAACTTTTTAATATACCGCTTTTATAAATGGACTAAAAAGTAGAAAATAATACTTCTCAGTCCCATAGAATTTGTTTTGATAACTTTTGATTTTGAAATTTTAGCAAAAGTCATTATAAACAATCTATGAAATTGAAAATGAAAAACGTGGAGCGCATGCAATACAAAGCATTCGATTTAATTGACAATAGTCAAACTACATAACGTAGACCTAAAATTTCTACAGCGAAAGTAGAACTTTGAAATCGATTTTAAGCGGTCGTTATTCATATACCCACATACATACATTCATATATTACTTTTCATATCAATTCAAGTGTATTACATGCGCCCCACGCTTTTCATTTTCAATTTCATAAATTGTTTATAATGACTTTTGCTAAAATTTCAAAATCAAAAGTTATCAAAACAAATTCTATGGGACTGAGAAATATTATTTTCTAAGTTTTAGTCCATTTATAAAAGCGTTGTATATTAAAAAGTTTTTTTATATTATTTTTTTTTTAATTCAATTTAGTCGTTTATTTGTGTTAAAGCCGCTGTACCTATTCAAGCGAATTAAAAATATAAGCAAATTTATTGTGTAGCTTGATAAAAATCAGAATAAAACCAAAGTAATCAAGGTCTTCTCTTCATGTTCACCGTTTTTCTTCGAAATTGATAAACACTGGACCTTGAAGAAAAAAATGCCTTATTGAAGTGAATCGGGGTGTATGTGAGCGCCAAATATTTATTTGTTATATAAGAATATCCGCTGCAAAAAGGAACACCTTATAAAAAGTTTTAAAATGAGTTAAACTTCGTACCGGTTATTTGCCAATTCCTAGAAGATGCTACCCATATTACTAGATATAGATATGTACATATATGAATGCATTTGCTTACGCGCTAAGACTTTTGCATACATAAGTATATGCAAGACAATTACCCAGCAATGTGAAGCAATGTTAAATGTAATGCATATTTGAAAAGAAAAAGCAGCGAGCTTAATCAAACGCCATTTGTCATTCGGTACTGGGTATATTTATACCTACTCATCTACTTACTTATGCATATATGTACGGTACAGCTTTGCACACCTTACTTACTTACTTACTTACAAAAAAAGCGTATGCACCAAAGTGGTGAATTGACGTCGTGCCCAAATCGCCTTCTACGCATGCCAAAATTTTATATGCAATACGCGTCTTTTGCTACTACATTACCACTTCCGCATCACGTCTGCTACAATGCCTTATTACTTACTGTATGGTTGCATATATGAATGTTTGCATGTATATATGTAGATACATATGAGTGCGTACGGTATGGACAATCAGTTATTACATACAGTATTTCTCAAATAACGACTTGTTGTCTAAACAAAAAATTGGTCCACCTGCGTGGCAAAGGCTTTGAATGATAATTTTAGTATCACAACTTGTTTTTTGTAAGTGGTACATAAATAGGCATCGTTTCCCCTTAACTATCACATTCAAGCCACGCTATAATATCAATGTTAGGTTGAGGAAGAAAAGACAAAAAAATTAAAGAAAATAAAGAAATAAAAGCACAGTATAATTTGATTAAGAAGCATATTTATTAAATAAGATTTATGTTATATATGTTTATTATATAAAACACTGAGCTACAATAGAAATAATGTTATAAAAACTTATAACATAACCTTTAATACATAATCCATAAAAATACTTGAATACTCTACAATTACATATTTTACCGCCATGTGGATGAAAAATACTTTGTTCTTATTCTTGTTGTTGGCTCTTTTCTTTAATTTATTACTTTTTCATAATCATTAAATTTAATCGTTTTGTTTTCTTTCTGGTTTTTTTTCTTGTTTTAATCGGTGTACTCTTCAATTTATACGCGAACTTGTTGATGTGTTTACATATATTTATATACGTATATATATATACATATATATGTATATATATATATATATAAACATGCGAATGATTTATGTATGCAGTTGCAATTATGTATGCATGTATGATTTTGTATATAGATTTATTTATATTTATACGTATTGAAATAAATACGTTGAGCAAAAAATAAAAAAAAAAATAAAAAACAAAGCCAATAGCGCTAACAATTTGCATTATCTTTTATGCATTTATGTATGTGTGGGTGTATGCGATTTTATTTTATGCATGTGAGTGTGTGAACTTGATGTATGCGCGTTTGTATGTGTATGTTTGTCTATGCAGGTGTGGTAATGTTTCGTTCTTATGGTTGTATGTATATTTGTTCTTGTTGGTATACTACGCTTTGTAGTATGTACATACATATGTATGCTCGTATTAATGTAACTATTCACGCTTGTAATGATTTTTGTGATATTTCGAATATTGAGTATTTTTTAGTTTTTTTTTTTTTAAATTTATGCTTTAGTTTCTTTTACACAATATTTAATGTGTTTGTTTGTTTCTGGAAAAGAACTTATATATATGTAACTCTTGTAGCAGCGTTTTAATTTGTTTTGTTTCGTTTTTGCTTTTGTTTTAGTCAACATTCAAAACACAATGTTCATACGATACAATTTCTTTTTAATTACATATTTTATATTTGCACACAAATTAATATATTATAGAAAAATAAACTTAATTACAGTTAGGTTTAATGCATTTCTGCTTTTGTTGTTTTCATGATTTCTTTTCAATTGTGTTTTTTTCCCTTTGTTTGTTTTTGGAAGTAAACAATATAATTATACAATAAAAAAAAGAACATTTAAACGAAAATGTAAAATAAACAAAAATTAGCAGTTAGAATCATCCTTCATCGTCAGAAGTTATTTCGCCTTTAACTAATTGCAATTTCTTATACATTATGTATATTTTTTTATAATTTTATGCTAATCGTAATATATATATATATATATAAAAAAGGTTTTTCAAATTTTATTGTATTATACTTTTTTGTGTGTGATTATTTTTTTCTGTTTTATTTTATATTTTAAATGCATGTCCTTTACAGTTGTCCTAAGCTTATCGACATCGATATTTACTTTGTTTCTTCCTTCTCCTTATTCTCCTCTGTGATTTCCTTTTCATTCGACTGTAAAGATAAATAAAAAAAAAACAATACAAATTTTAAATAGTATTTTTATGAATATAAAAATTTTATGCGTGAAATATTTCATAAATTATTTGATAAAAATTAAGTAGGTATCAAACATATGTAAAATATTTTTCACGTAGTTATACGAATTTTCTACTTCTTTTACGGAACAGAGTTAATTCTTGTAATTTTTGTTCTGGCAGGCTTGCACAAATCGAGTAAAAGTTTCGATTGCAATGCGAGTAGGTCCCTCCGCTTTGTGTGACAACATCAAGGCGCACGCCACAAGTCGGAGGAGAAGCTCGGCCAAACACTAACATATGTGTTAGCGCCAATCTATTATTATTATTTAAGTATTGAGCAATCGGCAGTAGCTTCTGCAAAATAAATCGAACTCTCTTCCGACACAGTACCAACTTTAAACTCCCATTTTTTATATTTTTTTGCAATCCTCAAGTCTACGCCTTTAAATTGGAAGTACAAGATGTAGTAAGGCAGTTGAGATCTAGGAAAGCTGTCGACTTTAATCCCAATATTTAATATAAACCTGGGAAAAAATGCTCTTCAACACTTCTGAGTTATACCCGCGCTGCTGGATGACGCTGAGTTCCACTGAAAAGCATAATTCATTTAACTGAGTCGTCTTACCCCAAGGACAGTGCTTATTACAGCTTCCAGGATGTTTGCTTTTAATCGTAAAAACTCTTTGCTTTTGATTTTCGCAGGGATTCCCGGATAATAACCGTTTCGAAGGCTCCCCTATGTTAAATATTTGAGGACTTAATGCGTCTTTTTCCAGCATCAGCGGCATCATAAACAAATTTTTAACACGCTAACATGCGCGATAAACTTACGAACGTACTATCTCTGAATGCTTAGATAAAAAAAAACTCTTTTTCGAGTTTAACGATGCTTTCCCAACCAAAAAGATTGTATACACTTATTTTTTCGCCCTGGTTACTTTAAGGGAAATCGATATTTATATCAATAAATATTAAACATATCGATAATCCATAAAATCTATAAGATATGTACATAATATATCGAAAACATTTTAAGTATGTAGGCAATTATATCGATAATTTTCGATTATTACGTCACACTTTGCATTGTTCGTCTCGCATACCTTGTCTTTTTCCAATTCTTTCTCGTTCTTATCGGAATCATTCTCCTGCTCATTCGATTTCTCGGGTTCACCCTCTTTGCCCTCCTTTGTTTCAGGCCTAGTTAGAAAAAAAAAATAGAACAAGAAATGGTTGAAATAATTACAAATTTAGCGAATAGCGAGCTATTTCCACTAGGCATTGAACATTTTAGTTGTTTAAAAAACATCACGTGGAAACATAATAAATTATTTAAAATAAAGCATAGAGTCTACACGTGACATTATTAAACATAAATCAAAATATTATTTAACGTTCAACATTGTTTTTAAAATGTTTGTCATTCAATGTCCAGTGAATATCTGGCATAAGGCTTAAAATCGAAAAAAAATATATAAAAAATAAAATAAAAGTAATCACAAAAAATGCTAAGACTTACTCTGGCTTTGGAATATGAGCATTCAAGTCCAATTTTGTGCAAATCTCATCCCAATCCGGGAAGCATCGCTCCTTCATTCGCGACACATGACCCACTAAGTTGGGACACTTTTCGGTCATGAAATCACGTAGCGGATACGAGATATCCTTCGACAAGTAATGCAGCTGCGACAATATGGCAAACGCAACCACATCCAAAGTGGTTGGCTCATCGCCAAAAAAGAATGGCTTGCAATCCAACATTTCGCTCAACACCTTCAAATCGTTCTTGCCAAATTCTTCAATCTCTTCGGGGCTGTGTACACCGATGCCGTGAGCCTTCAATTTTTTTGAACCCTGGAACCACTATTTATGAAAAATCACCATATTGCAAAATAAATTGAATTACATATATCAGGGGTGGATTTCATGTTCAAAACCATAACAATCAGCACTTTAGCGCATGAAAGACTATTTATGTATGTAATTACGAGTAAATATTTATGCCACAGAGACACGGCAAAGAGTGGTGGTGCAGTAGACACAGACAGACAGATTAAGCAATTGCGAGATACGAAGCGTATCTAGATAAATATATATGTAGATATCTAAATACAGATTCCTATAGTTGATAGCTAGATATGTACATATGTAGTTATATATGAAGGTATGTATATGGCTGAAGGCAAATATGATACTTTTGTAATTCTTATTTTTGGTTTGGCAAAAGTATTACAAATCTTTTAAATACACATATTTATTACTCACAATTAGCTTTTTATACATATAAGTGCACACTTGCGTTATAGCCGCATACATATGTATGTACATATCTTTGCCGATTTTTATTGTTTGTGGTTACGATATGAGAAAGCCAAAAGCGATTTAATGTAGCAATGTAAGTAAGTATAGCGTGCGATAAGTCAGTGTAAATAACGGTGCAAATGCGAGCAAATCAAATGAGTAATCGTAAAAATATGATTTTTTTCTGAATTTTCTGCTTTCTTAATACTCCTATGTACATATGTATGATGATTATACATATATTTTTAAATTGGATGACTAATGAAAGTCGAAATCAATGAAAAGTTGTTGATGCATTGCTTCAAAAGAGTGTTTTCTTATCAGCCCACCAAACTGCACCTAGCAGCTATTTAAAAATACATTGATGTGTGTGTATGTCGATATAATTTCAATATACGTTATATGTACATATACCATGTGTGTATATATAGAATATATATCAAAGCAAATCAAGCGAAAAACAACCGCCAAGTAAGTACGTACATATGTACATACATATAAACTATGTATAAATGGATAAGTACAAACCTTTCGTCCAAAAGTGAATTTAAATACAAAATTCAAAATCGAGTTTGGCCAACGCAAGCCGAGTGCGTGTTGCAAATTCACTTTATATCCTTTCAGTACATTATCGGGATACTTGGCGCGCCAATAGAAGATAATCCAAATCAAGTGATTCTCCAACATTGCAATCATGGCATATGACACATTTCGTTGCTCTGTTGTAAGAGCAGCATCCAAATTCTTATCATATCGAGCTGATAGTTCCTTGATAATAATGGCTGAATCAGCGATTTCCTCACCATTCAATTCAATGAAAGGTAATTGGCCCTTCTTTGAACGGAAACGCATTTTATGATCAACATTCTGTAAAAGAGAGAAAACGGGACAGATGATAGATGAATTTTTGTGTGGCATAAAAAAGGTTAAAAATAATTTAAATGGAAAGTAAGGGCATATGATCGATATTAGGTTCATATACATATGTACATATATCGATGGCTGAGTGGAAGATCGGCAGCCAGTTTGAAAACGCCCTATCTCAGAAAATTTTTCTACATCTCAGCTTATTTTCAATGTATTTTCGTTTGAGGTATGGCGTTTTTGAGCCGAATTCTGAGATAGGGCGTTCTTCAAAAAAAAAAGAAAACTCCGAGATAGAGTGTTTTTCAATAAAATTCTGTAATAGGTTGTTTTTCAATAAAATTCTGAAGTAGGGCGTTCTTGAAAAGTTCCTTGAGATAGGACCTTTTCGAACCGGCTGCCGAGATAGGCCGATCTTCTACTCAGCCATCGATATGCTTTATACTTTACGAGTGGTCAAGGGTTCGCAAACAATAGGATAAATTTTCAAAATTGCGATAACTGTTTTTGCATTATTTATAAAGTTATACTCCATTTTTAAGCAGTAGGCAATCCCATAATATTTCATGTACCCTTGTGGTCAGCTGATTAAGTAAAGTGACATTTTGACTAGTTTTGCCTATTTCTATTTTGTTTATTTAATGTTTATATTTCTTTTATAAAAGTCTAGCACTTTACCCTAACCAGCCCCATATAAGTCTACATTTCAAACTTCGTACAAAAATTATGAAAACTCAACAAACTTTAACATTTGCGCCCGAAAATTTTAAACTTTTTATTCAGAATTTTTAGAAAACTTTCGCAGTTTTGTAGATAATTAAATTTCAGTAGCTAATTATTTAGTTAAAGAGCAAATTTCAAGATGGTGGAAAATCGCGTTGATTTTTAATAATTTTTTTGCTCCTCAATTATAGGAAAATCGAAAAAACACTAAGGTGCAGCTTCCTTTCCCCTAAAAAAAAACATCCTAATGTAGGATCTTCACTAACAACACTTTTATGCACAAAAATCTGTAGTACGGCTGCCTCTTAATAGTAAATTATCGAAAATCGAGTATGGAAAAAATGTCACATTGCGCTTTTATGCCTCCGAGTGAAACTACCACGGGCAAATTTTTTGTCAAAGAGTGGCTCAACAGGAACTTTTTTAATATTTTGTATCTTTTTTAAAGACACATAGCTCATAAAGATTTAAAAATGTCCATTAATTTGGCGAAAACAAATTGCTAAACATTTGTTTAAGCCCTTAATAAATTACCACCCACAATTCAAGCAGCGAAGTTTTCACTTAGGGCCTTGCCAATATCTAATAACCAAAATTTAAATACTTATTTTTCTTCAGTAAAAAAAAAAAAACGAAAAAACTAACACCAGTTTGTCGCTTAAGTCTTTTGTGTCGTACAAATTGAAAGACTTAAGAAGCAAACTTGTGTTTAGGAAGAATGGAAATAAAACGTTAGTTAATTTAAAGTGCGTAACTAGTACACTGGAATTTAAAAAAATACCCCAAAAAAATACCCAAAAATAAAGGAGTACTTAACCCTTTGTCGGCCGATTGGGTTTCCCAAACTTAAAAACGGTTATATGGTAATAAAGAAATTGCGTGAATTTTAAGCGTTACTGCTTTGTTTTCGCTTTTGAATATATTAATCACAATACGGTTTAGTTATTCACTTAAATAATGAAAACAGCTATGAAAAAATTATAATATATTATTTTTAGTACAAAATGAAAAAATATTTAAAAAGCTATTTAAAAAACACTTGTTGAAGCATTCTTTTAACTATCAAAAAAAAAATTAAAAAACCTAAACAAAACTATAATAAACATATTTAGTTATATAAAAAATAAAAAAAAGTTATCAAAAAACTATTTAAAAATTAAAGCAGAAATATTTTTTTTTGAAAAAGATGTTTTTAATAACAAAACATTTTTAATTAAATTTAAATACACCATAATCTGCAAGCGCAACACATTTTTTTTTTTTTGGTTTGCAGTGTCTGTATAATGAAAGGGGTCAAAGAAAAAGAAAATCGCTAACTGGGGTAAACCGTTGCTAAGTCCACCTTTAGTGAAAACTCATATTGTGATGTAGAAATCAAAATAAATTAAAATGCTTCGTTTCCAAAAGGCACCTGCTATATTTCTCACCATTTTTTTATTTAGTGGAAGGCAAATATGCTAAGTTCAAAAGAGGCACAGTTAAGGCCAAAATACGAAATATTTTATTTAACATCTAATCCTTCTTATCCGCAAAATATTGGATTAAAAGTTTTGCCAAATGTTAGAAGAAAATAGCTACGAAAAATTTGTTTTCTCTCCTGTAAATTTCATAAAGATGGACTAAGTACTTTAAGTAATCTAAGCTGGCGAAATTTTGCAATATGAGTAATTTGCGCCAGCCTCAAATTTAAGATAGAACGGTGGGGCCAGTCAACATCTATGCTTTATAAAGGGTTGCACTTACTGAAATTCATCAAGATGAGGCATTCAGTACATTTCTGGATCATGGAAATTAGTTTCATTCCATTGACATTCCATTGCAAGGCATTCGAAGCCTTTTGACCACCTCGATGATACAAATTTTCGCTGTTTATTTCATTATTTTTGTTATTGATGACATATAATTTTACAAAAATCAGCATTTTTTCCTATCAATAAATAGCAAAATCATTCACAATTTTTATCTGTGCTGCACTCAAATTATGCCAGATATGAAAAATATATTTTTTGCTCATCAAAATTTGCAAACAATGCGTTTTAAATTCCACACAGATATGTATTTCCGTAAATCGATGCAAGTTGCAGAAACACATACATACACATACAGAAACATATACGATTATTTGCATAAACACTAAGCTAGCCAGTAGCGGTCAAAATATGGGTAGGTGGCACTTATACAAGTATATATAAATAAATAAATAAATAGGCGCATTTTTAACGCTATATTTGTTTATATTAGCAATAAATAAAAACGTAAAGAGATTTCAAATTTCAATTCAACTCAAGTGCGCGCGCGATACGCGACACATACCTGTGCATATACATACATACCCAATTTGCCACAGGGCGAAGACGAGTTCGAATCGACGTCGATACGACGTCCCCTGGAGAAGTCGTTTGGGTTAACTCGAAACGAAGTTGTTTTTTCCATACGAAATTCAACATCGTTCCGACGTCCCCTGGAGAAGTCGTTTGGGTGAACTCGAAACGAAGCCGTTTTTTCTATACAAAATGCAACGTCGTTCCGACTTCGTTTTTTCTCAATCGATGTCGTTGCGACGTCGATCTGGTTAAGTCGTTTGGGAGAACTCGAAAGGAAATCGTTTCTTCAAACCCACAAGTTTTTTGATGAACATTTTTATATATCTAAGCATAAATAAAAGTCATTTATTTGGATAGTAAACCGTTTTATTATGACAATTTTTTATTATGACAGAATATGGAGTCCAAAATGTACACTTGTTCTCGGAAAATTAAGACGACATATTTTTTTTCAGTATTCGTAATATTTTTCATATAAAATTTTTAAATTTTTTTTGTAAAGGTACAGGTTACTCTATCGGCAGTATTAATAAAAAATTTGTGGGTGTGAAGTTTTTTTTAAATTTGGTATAAAACTGTATTTTTACTTTAAATTTGGTATAAAAAGTTAAAGTTTTAGTTTGTATTTTATGACTGAATGTTTTCCTAATTTTTCTTTTTAATTAATATTTAAGTATGTACATTTAAAAACTTAAAAAAAATCCAATGAATTGAATTCAACAATTTTAAATAAAAAATTTGTGTTTTATAGTACTGCATGTAATTTTGAGCATCGTTTTGCAGGGGAGTCGTTTTTGCGTCGTTTCGACGTCGTTTGGCAAATTGGGTACATACATATGTATGTACATATGTGATATCTAAAGCACTGCGTCGCAATTAGGTTTTAGCGGCTAGACAATTTTACAGTTTCCTAATACAAGCGGCGCTGATGCGCATAAAGCATTTTTTAAAGGCGCGCTTACATGCCTTAACGCTTAAGTGTGTAAGTAAATGAGAATAAGTGTTGAGCCGCATCCGTGGCACAGTGGTACCAAACTGGAATTCACATCCCAAACAGACCGATTTCATAAATTTTTTTAAATGAAAGCTAATAAAATTTAGAAGATACTTGTTGACCTGTTGACCTCAAATTTTGAATTTTTATTTGTTTATATTAATTTAGTGCAAACTGCAGAGAATGTAGCAATTTAAAAAAATCAAATCGTTGGAATGTGTAATAAAATGAAAAAATGCAAAAGTAAAAGCTTAAATTTCTAAAAAAAATTTCACAAAATTTTAAATTTGTTTGCAGATATGCAGTTTTATAGCGCATTAAATTTTAGTGTGCTGAAGTCGAAGTTTCAACTGCGCGTTGATTTTCAATTTGTTTTTCAGACATTTCGACAACACTTTACGTATGTGGAAGAAAATGTCTAGCACCGTTAGAAAAAAAAATTATTAAAATCGGTTGAAAATGAAGGTTCTAAAAAATGTTCAACAGTAAATTCCAGCTTGGCACCACTGTGCATGGGTAGTATGTACATACATACTTTTATTATGAGTGCATTTTTGTATTAGTTATTTCATGTGCATCTACGTCCCTCTAACGCCAAATCTGTAGGCCCGACAAATATATTTTTTTTTATTTTTGTTTTTTGAAATTTTTTCACGTTATGCTCAGAAATAGTTACATGTTTATCCTATATGCATATTTATTTATGTATACGCACAAAGAGTTATTATGGAACAAACTTATAACTCTAGTAGATAAAATACGTGTGTACATAGGTATGTATAATCGCATTTATTTATTCTTAATTGGTAAACATTGACACACGGAGACGTACCTTGCGCCTTCTGTNTATTATGGAACAAACTTATAACTCTAGTAGATAAAATACGTGTGTACATATGTATAATCGCATTTATTTATTCTTAATTGGTAAACATTGACACACGGAGACGTACCTTGCGCCT